GGAATTCATTTAGTGCTGCATTACCCTGTCTGTTTGCTTTAAATCTTTTTAGCAGCTGGTCTCTGAATTTCATATTATCTAATTTTTCCAGTATTTATCCAGGGTTCAGTTCTTCGTTTAATCCTAACCTTTTTAAACGGGTTTGCGATATTATTAAGAATGGTAGTGAACATTGTTTTAAAATTTTTCCCAGGCATCGTTTTACGTCCGTACAACTTGTTATCTCTGTCCAGTCACAATTGTGTAGCCTATTTACCAGTGTTTCTTTACTGTAGTTTCTAGTTGACCTCATTTTATTGTCCTGTGTAGGCCTATCCTTATCCCTAGTGATTTTCCTGGTGCAGTAAATGATGAAATGATCACTAAGACCTGTGGAAAATGACGCCTGACTGACTAATTTTCTCAGCGATGTTGCAAAGTATGTGGTCAATTAGGGTGGCTGAGAACTGTGTGACCCGGGGGTTGGTTTATTAATTAGTTGGGTGTAGCTATTTAATCCTAGAATTTGCTTATACCTTTTGCATAGCCCGTTATTTTGTTGCTGAAAACAGATATTGAAGTCGCCCAGTATTATTGTTTCACAATTGCTTTCAACTCCGGACAAGACTCTGGAAAAGTCTTCTAAGAACTGGTCCTGGGTAGGAGGGCGGTAACTAGTTCCTACAAAGATGGGTTTGGTCTTGGGAAGCAGCACTTCAAACCATAGAATCTAGTTTATTGTTATTTAAATCAGGTCTTGGGTTGTAAGCTAAGTCATTTCTAATGTAGGCACATACTCCACCGCCCTTTCTGTTCCTATCTAAGCGTTTTTATATTGTAACCTTCTATTTTGACCTCGTCGTCAGTCACCGTATCATCCAAGTTTCAGAGATGGTTATAACTGCCGCCCTAATTTTGTTGCTAGAATCCTAATCTCTGCCAATTTAGGAAAAAGTGATCTGCATTGACATGAATAAAGTGAAGGCCTTTTTTTCATAAAACAATCATAATCATCAATATATGGCAATGGGTCATTTGTATTAAAATTAGGTAAATCAATGTCATCACTGCTAAAGGGTAACTGTGCCAAAGTGCATTTGTTACACACAAAATGAATTCTGGCACCGTTGCTATAATTGTACATACATCCATCAAGCACCCACCCCTTACACATTTTACATAAGGTGCCTTTTCTGTTTTTCATGCGTACTTTAGTACAGTGTATGCATCTGTTTGGTAGTGTTTGAGATAATAATGAACTGCCCCTTATGCGTAGTAATCCTCCTGTTGTGAGTCCCCAGGTTAAGAGGGGAACTTGGTCAGTGGCTGGGCAACATGGAACCAAGCTGAGGATAAAGAAAACGGTTGGAGAGGCACAAACAACGAGAAACCAGAAGACTACCGTGGAAACTTCCAACTTATTCTCGGTGCTACCTGACGAATGTGAGTGTTCTACTGGGAATGCCACAACGAGCACCAAGGAAGCATTGGCAGACGTGAGTGAGACATCCCTAGAAACCCCAACGATGACCATCGAGAACGTCTTGACGAATTCGACGCCAAGGGAGGTAAAAACATAGTTGTTGTTGGGAATAGCCAGATTAGGTACATGGATAGGGCATTCTGCTTGAAGGATAGGAGTAGGAGGCAGAGAGTGTGTTTTCCTGGGGCTGGGATGAAGGATGTTGTTAGCCGTCTGGATGACATCATGAGAGGTAATGGGAGCAATCCTATTATCTGTCTCAGTGCTGGAGGCAATGATGTTGGCAGATGTAGGAGTGAGGACCTGATTAGCAGGTATAGGTCAGCAATAGAGATAATTAGGAGGAAGGGTGGGAAAAACCCGTCATATGTGGCATTTTGCCAAGGAGGGGAGTTGGAAAAAGAATGGTTGTCCAGAGCAATTGGTGTCAATTGCTGGCTGGACAAATACTGTAAGGAAAATGCAGTAACATTCATTGACAACTGGGACCTCTTCTATGGCAGAAATGACATGTATCCAGGGATGGGGTTCACTTATCTAGGTGTGGGTTGGGAGCACTGGCTAATGCAGTGGAGGGAGCTGTTAGGGGCTTTAAACTAGGAATAGTTAGTGGTATGGGTTTGGCTGGAAAACGTGGGAAATCGCAGGGTAGGAGAATAGTAATAGGCAAAAAAGAGGTGGATTTTTGGAAGCCAGTGGCACTAATTGACAAGGACAGTAATAGGTTTTGTGGGGAAAAACAGAAAGGAGCAGGAAGGGTAAACAGAGAGGAGGGTCTTTTAAATATATATTACACAAATAGTCGCAGTGCCAGGAAATAAGATGGACAAGTTGAGACTAGTTGCTATGCAGGTAACATTGATGTATTTGCCTTAACTGAGACGTGGTTTAATTCAAAAAGTCGGGATATGCCTGCGGAATGTCACATTCAGGGTTATAAATTGTTCGAAGTAGATAGAAGTGTCGGGAAGGGAGGTGGGGTAGCACTGTATGTCCGAGATCGCTTTGAACTGTTGCATAAAAAAACCCGGTATTAAGTTGAAGTGGGCACATACAGAGTCTGTTTGGATAGAATTTTCAGAGGGGTATGAAAAATTAATTTTAGGTGTGATATACCATCCCCCAAACTTAGGTAGGGACCAGGGGAGACTACTATGGGAGGAAATTGTTAGGGCCACAAGGCACGATAATGTAGTAATTCTAGGAGACTTTAACTTTTGTCATATTGATTGGAATTTTTTGACTGGGAAATTTTGAAACATACGGGCTTCTTAGAAGTAGTTCAGGATTGTTTTTTGAAGCAGTTTGTGACAGAACCTACAAGGGGTAATAACCTCCTTGACATAGTTCTGGCAAACAATGAATCCCTTGTTAATAATTTAGAAGTTTCAGAGGAACTGGGTGCTAGCGACCACAAATCAATTTCATTTAGCATTGAATGGAGTATGATAGTAGGGATAACTCAGTAAAAGTCCCAGATTTTCACTTAGCAGATTACGATGGGCTTAGAGAACACTTATCATCTGTTGACTGGGGTAACGAAGGAGCTATCAATATGACAGTTTTCTGAAACACTATACAGAGGCTCAAAGAACGTTTATCCCGTTTAAAGAAATTAGATCAAATAGAAATGACCCAAATAGATGAATAATAGGCTCAAATATCTACTAGGGCATAAGAAAGAAATTTTTTGGCGTATCAAAAGAGGTGAGGGTCATCTTATGAATCAGTATATTGACATAAGAGGGGCATTAAAAGGGGATAAGAAAAACTAAAAGGGGACTATGAAGTTTTTAAAATTGCTAGGGATTCTAAAAAATAACCCAAAAAGTTTTTTCCAGGTATATAGAACAAAGTCAGAGATAAGAACAGGTCCCCTTAAAAATAATATGGGCATTTTTACTGACAAAGAGAATGAAATGTGCTCGATTTTAAATAATTATTTTCTCTCGGTTTTTGCACAGGAAAACACTAATAATTTCCAGTAATTAAATTTTTTTTAGTGGGCCAGAAGAAGATAAATTATGTAACATCACAGTCACTAGTGAAATGGTTGTGAAGCAGATAGACTGATTTTAAGCAAAATAAGTTACCGGGTCCCGATGAGGTTTTTTTCAAAATGTTCTTAAGGAATGCAAAATGAAATCTTTTGAACCATTAACTAATATTTTTAATTTATCTCTTCAAACAGGTTTTAGTGTCTGAAAATGTAGAAGATAGCTAATGTAATGTTTCCGTTTTTAAAACAGGGGACAAGTCGTTACCGTCAAATTACCGCCCCAAAAAGCCTGACCTCAATTGTAGGAAAATTACTAGAGTCAATTATAGCTCAGATTATAAGAAGCCATCTCGATAAGCATAGCTTGATTAATGATTTCTCAGCATGGATTCAAAAAAGGCCGGTCTTGTCTAACTAATTTATTAACTTTCTTTCAGTAAAGCTTTTGAGGTGTTGACCACGATAAAGAATTTGATATTATTTACTTAGATTTTAGTAAGGCTTTTGATAGAGTTCCGCACCAAAGACTGTTAAAGAAAGTGGCAGCTCATGGCATTGGGGGAAAAGTGCTCTCGTGGATCGAATCATGGCTCACAGACAGGAAGCAGAGAGTGTCCTTAAATGGGGTTAAATCCGAGTGGGGATCAGTAACAAGTGGCATTCCACAGGGATCAGTCTTGGGCGCATTGTTGTTTATAATATATATCAATGATCTTGATGAAGGAATTAGTAGTGATATGAGCAAATTCACCGATGACACAAAGATAGGTAGGATAATTGATTCAAACGTAGATGTTTGAGAACTTCAGAAAGATTTAGACAAACTCTTGACAGACTTGGTCAGAAAAGTGGCAGATGCAGTTCAATGTAGATAAATGCAAGGTTCTGAAGCTCGGGAGTGTCCATAACCCTAGCACTTACAAGTTAAATAATGTAGAACTTAGCCATACAGATTGCAAAAAGGACTTGGGGGTTATGGTAAGCAGCAACCTTAAGCCAGGACAGCAATGCCTAAGCGTACATAATAAGGCAAATAGATTGCTGGGATTTATATCAAGAAGTGTAAGCAACAGAAGTCCAGAGGTCATACTGCAGCTTTATACATCATTAGTAAGGCCTCACCTAGATTATGCAGCTCAGTTCTGGTCTCCATATTACAGAATTGACATAAATTCGTTAATAAAACATTCAGCGTAGGATGACTAAATTAATACATAGCATTAGAAATCTTCCTTATGAAGAAAGATTGAAGACTCTTAAGTTACATTCACTTGTTAGACGAAGAATATATATATAATAGTTTAAAACAGCATTTATTCCAAATTTAGTGTTAATAAGTGAGCAAAAATTAATAAAGAAAATAAAAATGCAAGAAAAAACATGAAAATTAATAAAAATCGTTAACAAATCATTTAAAATTAATATGTGAGAAAAGCACAAGATTCTCAGTGGTGGACGGTGATTGGTGGAGAGGCTGGCATTCCCGCACGCTGATTGGCGGAGGCTGCCGGGTGAAGTGGACGTTGATTGGTCAGGTCAAAGCCAGCTGTCAAAAGTAAATAAGACGACCATCAAGAAGGAAGATCAAGACTACAACACCAAGTTTGAAGACGATATTTACAAAGAAATAATGGACTGTGTGAGGTAAATTATAGCACAGATTATACTTGAATTATCAGAGTACAATTGTAGATAATTTATATCACTTGTAATTGTATTTTAAGGGAGAAATAAGGTAAGGGAGGAGGGTGATCACCTTCCTCTAGTCTAGGGATATAAAATTGGCTCACTTTCTAGCAAGGAAAAACAAAGACGAGTTTTCAGTCCAAATATTGACCAGGATGAGGTAAATTATAGCTTAAATTATTGTTGAATTACTCTAGTATACTTGATATAACTAATAAGATATAATTGTATATTAAGGCAGAAATAACGTGATAAATGAGGGTAATTTTAGCCTGCTGGTAAATGGTCTAGTAGGTCGTAACAAGAGGCCAAAATAATGTTTTTATACAAGGGGAAAAGTCGCCCTGTTGCTCATTTAATATATTATTTGAAATGGGTAGTCACTAATTGGTCTTTGTAATAAATTAGTCACTAAATAGTCTTTATCAAAATAAATGGCTGTTGATCATTACAATGTATAGTTTTGGAGTAATTTAGGTATAATGATTTGAGTGATGGCTGAAGTATTTCTTCTATTTTTTATGGTGGAATAATAGTATATATTCTAGGGTTGCTTGAGTGATGATGGAATTGTTTCTTCTGTATTTTTTGTTCTCTGTATATAAGCAGTTTGTTGTACAGGGTTTGAGTGATGGTGGAAGTAAATCTTTTATTTTGGTTGCAATATATTGGTGGCAGACTGATTTGAACAAAATGTGTTGCAGGGTTGAGTGGTGGTGGTGAGTTGAGTGGTGGACAGAGCACTGGAGGCGGCGGTGTGTCGTTACGGAAGATTCCACCGCAGCGGAGACGGAGGATCAACCTTACAACAGCGATGTACTGTTGATGCTGCTATGACCATCACATGATGCTGTTGTTGACTCTCCAGGTGAAGCCTATTGTTGGGTCCAGGGGTCAGGGAGGGGTCCATGGGGGGTGGGGGGTCAGGGAGGGATCCATGGAGGTGTGTGCGTGGTCAGGGAGGGGTCTGTGGGGGTTGTGTGGGTGGTCAGGGAGGGGTCTACAGGGGGTGTAGGTGGTCAGGGAAGGGTCCATGGGGGTGTGTGGGTGGTCAGGGAAGGGTCCATGGGGGGTGTGTATGTGGTCAGGGAGGGGTCCATGGGGGTGTGTGGGTGGTCAGGGAGGGATCCATGGGGGTTGTGTGGGTGGTCAGGGATGGGTCCATGGGGGTTGTGTGGGTGGTCAGGGATGGGTCCATGGGGGGTTGTGTGGTGGTCAGGGAGGGGTCTATGGGGGTTGTAGGTGGGCAGGGAAGGGTCCATGGGGGGTGTGTGGGTGGTCAGGGAAGGATCCATGGAGGTGTGTAGGTGGTCAGGGAGGGGTCCATGGGGGTGTAGGGTCGTCAAGGAAGGGTCACTGGGAGGTGTGTGGGTGGCCTAGGGAGGGGTCCATGGGAGGTGTGTAGATGGTCAGGGAAGGGTCTAGAGGAGGTGTGTAGGTGGTCAGGGAAGGGTCCATTGGGGATGTGTAGATGGTCAGGGAGTGGTACATGGGAAGTGTGTAGGTGGTCAGGGACGGGTCCATGGGAGGTGTGTAGGTGGTCAGGGAAGGGTCCATGGGAGGTGTGTAGGTGGTCAGGGAAGGGTCCATGGGAGGTGTGTAGGTGGTCAGGGAAGGGTCCATGGGAGGTGTGTAGGTGGTCAGGGAAGGGTCAATGGGGGGGGTGTGTTAGGTGGCCAGGGAAGGGTCCATTGGGGTGTGTAGGTGGTCTGGGAAGGGTCCATTGGGGGTGTGTAGGTGGTCAGGGAAGGGTCCATGGGGGGTGTGTAGGTGGTCAGGGAGGGGTCCATGGGAGTGTAGGTGGTGAGGGAAGGGTCCAAGGGGGGTGTGCAGGTGGTGAGGGAGGGGTCCATTGGGGATGTGTAGGCGGTCAGGGAGGGGTTCATAGGGGTGTAGCTGATCTGGAAGGGGTCCATGGGGGGTGTTTAGGTGGTCGGGAGTAGTCCAGGTCAGTATTGGAAGTGGTCAGGAGCAGTCCAGGGGTAGTGGAAGTGGTCAGGGAGCAGTCCAGGGGGTAGTGGAAGTGGTCAGGGAGCAGTCCAGGGGGTAGTGGAAGTGGTCAGGGAGCAGTCCAGGGGGTAGTGGAAGTGGTCAGGGAGCAGTCCAGGGGGTAGTGGAAGTGGTCAGGGAGCAGTCCAGGGGGTAGTGGAAGTGGTCAGGGAGCAGTCCAGGGGGTAGTGGAAGTGGTCAGGGAGCAGTCCAGGGGGTAGTGGAAGTGGTCAGGGAGCAGTCCAGGGGTAGTGGAAGTGGTCAGGGAGCAGTCCAGGGGGTAGTGGAAGTGGTCAGGGAGCAGTCCAGGGGGTATGGAAGTGGTCAGGGAGCAGTCCAGGGGGTAGTGAAGTGGTCAGGGAGCAGTCCAGGGGGTAGTGTGAGTTGTCAGGGAGCAGTCCAGGGGGTAGTGGAGGTGGTCAGGGAGCAGTCCAGGGGGTAGTGGAAGTGGTCAGGGGGTAGTGGAAGTGCTCAGGGAGCAGTCCAAGGGTAGTGGAAGTGGTCAGGGAGCAATCCAGGGGGTAGTCCAGGAGTAGTGGAAGTGGTCAGGGAGCAGTCATGGGGGCAGTGGAAGTGGTCAGGGAGCAGTCCAGGGGGGCAGTGGAAGTGGTCAGGGAGCAGTCCAGGGGGTAGTGGAAGTGGTCAGCGGGTAGTGGAAGTGGTCAGGGAGCAGTCCAGGGGGCAGGGGGTAGTGGAAGTGGTCAGGGGGTAGTGGAAGTGCTCAGGGAGCAGTCCAAGGGGTAGTGGAAGTGGTCAGGGGAACAATCCAGGGGGTAGTGGAAGTGGTCAGGGAGCAGTCCAGGGGCAGTTGGAAGTGGTCAGGAGCAGTCCAGGGAGTAGTGGAAGTGGTCAGGGAGCAGTCCAGGGGGCAGTGGAAGTGGTCAGGGAGCAGTCCAGGGGGCAGTTGGAAGTGGTTTAGCGGGTAGTGGAAGTGGTCAGGAGCAGTCCAGGGGGCAGGGGGTAGTGGAAGTACTCAGGACAGTCCAAGGGGTATGGAAGTGGTCAGGAAAAAATCCAGGGGGTAGTGGGAAATGGTCAGGGAGCAGTCCAGGGGCAGTGGAAGTGGTCAGGGAGCAGTCCAGGGAGTGGGTAAGTTTTTCAGGACAGTCCAGGGGCAGTGGAAGTGGTCAGGGAGCAGTCCCCGGGGGCAGTGGAAGTGGTCAGGGAGCAGTCCAGGGGGCAGTGGAAGTGGTCAGGGAGCAGTCCAGGGGCAGTGGAAGTGGTCAGGGAGCAGTCCAGGGGGGAGTAGAAGTGGTCAGGGAGCAGTCCAGGGGGCAGTAGAAGTGGTCAGGGAGCAGTCTAGGGGGGAGTGGAAGTGGTCAGGGAGCAGTCCAGGGGCAGTGGGGAAATGGTCAGGGAGCAGTCCAGGGGTAGTGGAAGTGGTCAGGGAGCAGTCCAGGGGGCAGTGGAAGTGGTCAGGGAGCAGTCCAGGGGGCAGTGGAAGTGGTCAGGGAGCAGTCCAGGGGGCAGTGGAAGTTTGGGCAGGGAGCAGTCCAGGGGCAGTGGAAGTGGTCAGGAGCAGTCCAGGGGGCAGTGGAAGTGGTCAGGAGCAGTCCGGGGCGTGGAAGTGGTCAGGGAGCAGTCCAGGGGGCAGTGGAAGTGGTCAGGGAGCAGTCCAGGGGGCAGTGGAAGTGGTCAGGAGCAGTCCAGGGGGCAGTGGAAGTGGTCAGGGAGGGGTCCTCGGGGCAGTGGAAGTGGTCAGGGAGGGGTCCCGGGGGCAGTGGAAGTGGTCAGGGAGGGTCCTGGGGGCAGTGGAAGTGGTCAGGGAGGGGGGCAGTGGAAGGGATCGTCAAGGAGGTTAGGGAAGGTCAAGGGGGAGTGTAGGTGGTGGGGAGGGTCAAAGGGAGTGTAGGCTGTCAGGGACGGTCCAAGGGGAGTGTGTTCAAAGTCTAACAGAATCTCTGAAGTTCTTCCCATTAGTGAAAAATGTGATAAATCTTGACCTATTGTGGCTAACTTATTTAAACTACCATAGCTATGTAGGTAAACCAAAATCACTTAAATATAGTGTTCGTTATTATTCAAGGTTTCTGGTATCCATGGTAGTTCTTGGTGCGTCCCTGGGATAACTGGGCACTACTGTGTAGGTCTTGGAAGGTATCTCCCTGTGATACCAGGAAACCACTGTGCTTTAGCTTCCGCAGTTCTTGTCTCTCTAAATTAGTGTCCAGGTTGCTGTGGATGGACTGTTGGTTATAAGGCAGGGACCAAGAGCTAAATCCAATTGTCCAGAAGCACATCCTTGTGGTGTGGCTCTTTTTTTTTTCTTTTAGATACAGTAAGCATTGCATATAACGCACCTTAGATTTAATAGGGGAACATTCGTTAAATTGTACATATAACTGCTTGTTTATCAGGTATATTAGTTGCATACTAATGTCTGTGCATAGGTATATAGAAATACAAGTAGTTGTATGGATCATAGTCACTGAAAAACCAATGTAAGTAATTTCTTTGACAAACTTTAGCATTAGTCAGATTTAAGTGACACTGATGTTAATCAATCTTAGTGGTTATTGAAACCTCCATATGTTTGTTGTGTGGATAGTTGCAACAACGAGATTCATTGTTGACAGATTGGTGTCCAGTGGTGCATCCTTGAGCAGTAACGTTGGTTTGCTGGTTTTTCCCCGAGGTGCGATCGTAGGTATGACAATGGTGCTGCCCACTAGAACTGCTACTAGTACTGTCACTACCACTAGTCCTCCTCCTAGTACTGTCACGACCACTAGTGCTGCTGCTACTGTGAGTGTTATAAAATAATTTTCTTGGGATCAGTACTTACCGAGATAAGAAACATGAAAATGACAAAAGTTAATGACTAGCGGCAACATCGTCGACTTCTGCTGCTCTCCGTATTTTTGTTTTTACTTTTATTGAATGATTTTCTTTTCTAAAATTTTTTCCAACAAATTTTGTGGGCTGTGAGACCAATATAATGAATAATGTATATATATCCATTCTTCACACCAACCCAGTAACTGCACACATTGTTTGCAGAACTTGCTTACACAAATGAACATAAATATTTATTACTGATGTTTTAAAGTATACAGATGGAGCATTACAGTGCGGCATTAATCGGTCCATCACTTTAAAACACCCTGTATATATATGTAGTGCTGAATAGGTAAAACTTGTGATTTTTGGCTGAAATAACAACACTTCTTGTGGAATAAGGCAAGCGGAAATTTGTGTATGCAATAATTTCGCAAAAATCATTCTGAACCAAACAACAAAGTTTCCTTGTTTATTAAATTCTAAATTTGTCTAAAATGTATTTAGTTCGATTAAGCTAAATTAAATTACGGTTGCTATAATAAGGTTACGTAAGTTTTCTAGGGTTCTTTTGATACAAAATTAATTTTTACATAAAAATATTTTTATACGAATATTAGTATTTTAAAAAGGGCTTAATTTTAAACACGTTTTAGCTAATTGAGCAATTTTACCTATTAGACACGACATTATATATATCAATCACTGGACATGATCCTAGGACAGCAGCAGTCTGTGGAAATCTTTGAATCATAGTGCTGTACACAGTGCTGTTTTATACTCCATACACACAACTAATGTGTTCGCATTTTTGTGAGGTGGTGGTTGTATGTGCACAGACAAAACACCTCTGACAAAATTATTTCTTAATAAGAGGCAGTTTTGTTAGGTAGTGGTACCAAGACATCAAACGAGAGGCTATTTGATGATCAGTTTTCACACTGTTTTGTGTCACAGATATTACCTGGTTCTTCTATATTGTCTGATGACAAACAAAATTCTCCATTTAGTGGTCTTTCTGCTCCTCATTTTGCTGTAAGACCCTTGTAGGTTCAACGCTTTTTTTTATTACAATAATAATGGTCCTCATCTTCATATTATAAGCACTGAGTATGATAATGTCCATTAAATATAAAAAGTTTAATGCACCACTTATAAGTTTGGACAAATGTGACATGTAGCAAACCCAATCTGCATGTTACATTGGTCTACTGAACTCATATTGAGAGCGTAACCCAGTAATAGACAAGTTTTAGAATTGGTTCATTGGTATCTTTCTTTTCCCTTCCACTATCTGTCATTTCGTTATTGTGAATGGATGTCACTGTGACATCTCGTTCGTCATAGCACCGTAATGCTATGGTCATTGGCAACCAACACTTTACCTCACTACGAATGCCTGTGTTGAACCTGGGCAAATGTTTACGATTTGCACGCACTGCACCACACACGTCTGTCATGTTCAATTGAAAGAAACTGCTGAGTAAGAGGTTTGTGTACTAGTATCAGTATATAGTGTGTCCCTTACCAAGATATGGTTCCACCAATGTTCTAGCTACATCTTCCGGGATTCCCAGTAACATTTTGGGTTTATCTACCAAGTTTTATTTCCCCGGGGATAAAGGTTTATCTAATACCAAGCCAATTTAAGTCACAAAGTACAAACTTCATGCCAAAATGTTCCCTCCAGCTCGGTATGTATGTACTGTTCCAACGACAATCTATCTTCGAAGAAAATTAGTCGTCGGTTACAAGATCCTTGAATGGATAAAAGAATATGTTGAACTTTTGTTTTAGATACATGAAAACATTTCTAATCTTGATAAATTAGACACATGTGTAACATTTGGGTATCTTTAATGAGGAATAGTTTCGCCATGCAGTGGCTTCAACAGTCCATACAAAGGAGAATGGTGAAGAACAGTAGTAGTTTGAGGTAATTAGTGTCTCAGCCTTGAGTCAATGTGATCAGTCCATCAATCATGTCTGACACAGCAACATCTTATGAACTTAATACAGAGAGTTCTTCAACTTGCCTAACTCTTGGGCACGACATACTTCCACATTCGTCAAATGTTATACCACCCACGACTGCAGCACCTCCCTGCCCACAGTATATAAACACTTCTTCGCATAATTCTGTATTCTTTTCAAGATTGAATGGACTGATCACATAACAGTTGAGGGACGATAACCTCATAACACCGTTTCTTTCAAACCATCTCGCCTTTGTATGACTGATGAAGCTGATGTCGTGCGAAACATATCCTCATAAAGACGCTCCAAATATGCAAAATACCTAATTTATCATTCAATCTACATTTTTAATCGCATAAACTTATTGTCGGTCAGTCTGATTTCTGGAAGCTAAGTGTAACATAGATAAATCTGTTTACTGCGATAATATCACTGAAGGTCGGGGTAGAAATAGGGCGAGCTGAGGATCGATGATGTGATATGGCAATAAACATTCTATGCTCCCCCCCCCAAAAAAAAGATAAATCTGCCCGACATTTGCTTCTTTCACAGGTGTAGTCGTGTTTTGTGGATGAAATCATTATATTTGCCGTAATGTAATCAAAATTGTTACTTTCCCTGAGATATATTTTCCTTCAGAGCTGATCAAGAATCTTTCAAATGAATTGCAGTTCGCTTAGCAATGTTTCCCAAAGGAACAAGGATGACAGAATACCACTATTCAGTGTCCAAATGATAGGAATGGGGGAACAAAAATGGGGGATTTTCTGGCATTCCCACAATGTTTACTGTGGTGTGACATCATCAACTGAATTGTGGTTGTGCAGGTTGTGTTGTGGAGCTATTGAAGGATGCCCCTTGCCCGTAGACCTTCTGATTCAGTGGTGGGTCCCAGCCTGGGCTTGTTGTGGCACTTTATACTGCCGGCAAACCAACACCACCGACAGATGCATGCGACCTACTGTCTACCCACTGTAGTCACATCATCGCCACTTTCACTATTGCTTGGTGAAGACAATGGAGGTACTCATGTCCCTCTTGGTACTACATGTGTACACTACCCCATCCGTATGAGGCTCGTTAAATGGACCCGTCACAGGTGGAATATTATTCGTCACTATAGCTACTCAAATGAGCAACAAAATCAAAGACCACGCAAGATCGTACTATCACCCGCATCCGCACCTGGTCCTGCAAAAGATATTTTCTTTTGTGACTGGACAACTAAATGTGACACAGAACTTCGAACCACACAGATAGATTGGTAGGGACGTCAGGGTATACATACCATTTTTCTATAGCCTGGTTATAATGTTGTCACAAATTTGATTAGAACCATAGAATTCCTCCTTCAGAGGTCACATGGAAGAGGGATTCCGAGTTTGATTAGGTAAAGTATTTGTTACCACGAGACATGTGAACATGAGTACAAAGATGGAGTTCCCATAATGCAGAGGTGACAAATTTTTCTGCCAAGGCCCCATTTGGAGATGTATAACATCATTCTGGGCCATAATAAATTAACTTAAAAATTAACCGTGTTATATTTGGTCATTTAATGTGATGCTGAACTGCTAATCTTTGGTGAGCGCTGATGTTATTTGGTATTTTTTTTTTTTTATATTTTATTTAAAACCAACACTAGAGCAATAACAAAAGGAAAAACCCTAAAATGTACAAGATAGACAATAAATGAAAAAACGTTACTATTAGATATTGCAAACACAACGAATAACATTACAAGATAGTAGACAAATATACCACTATTAGACCTAATAAATTAAATAGATACCGAAGCTTAAAAATTGGCCTATACTAGCTACATGTGATAAAGTTACCTTTCGCAAAACATCAAACCTAGATTAACTCTCCTCCAAGTAAATCTCCTTGCCTTAATTTACACTAGAAACTAAAAATATCAATATAATACAAGAGCAGTTTGAATCAAAAGAAACATGCCACAATTATCATAAATTACCCTAACGCTAAGTCCGAGTATTTCATCTGTAGTAATACATGTCTAACCACACGAAAATTTACGCTACATACCTCTAATCATATTTGTTGGTGTACATGATACAACCTTGTATGACCATAAAAGAAAAAAAGAACAATAAAAAAGGAAAACCCCACTCTTCACCCCTTTAAAATCAGACTCAATTTACCAACATGTACATACATATAAATAAGTATATAAATATATTGTCTTATTGAACACAAGTCACTTACAACGTCAGTTAAATTTACGTCAACTCAACCACGAATACTTCACCCAATTCTTACAACTGCAAGTTCCGTAAAAATCTTAACTACATACATATATTGCCACCATCTAGACAAATTAAAAAGAAAAACAATACTCAAACCATATCAAAACACACTAATGCTTCTAAAATTGCACCAAATCAATGTGTTACAAAATAACATTGTAAATTTAACTGAAACATAAAAAGCCTTTTGACATTTACACATTGTTTCAAAATCATAAATGCGCATAAAAATATGTATTGAATACATTGAAAATGTCAGAGAAAAACATTAAAGTATATACAAAAAGGTAAACATACATACATATACAACATATTCATATATATATATATCGTAATAATATAATAATATCATAATCGATATATATATATATATATATATAAATATAATAGAGATATACACATACATACACATAACTATAACATACTTACACAAGTAACAACACACACATACAACAATGCATTATTATATACACACATACCTAGTAATAAGTTCGATAATTCCAAATATAACTGGATTGTTACTTGAAACATTACTCTGAATAAATAATTTAAATTCACCCAACATACCCTCATATAACATTCATCAAACTCATCATGCTACCGTCCATTCGAGGAAACCAGGCCCATTTCATCCCCCATACTGCCTTTCAACTCCCGTAAATCCCGTAAAGTGAATTCCTATAACCTCACTTAAATCCCTCTCCCATCTCCCCCCAAAACACCTCCTTATTTCTACACTTTTGTCCTATAAAAGGTTGCTGTTAATGCAGTTAATCTTCACACACGTTTCGGCTCCGCTCATAGCCCAAGATATATAAATAGTAATCCCGTAATTAATTACCCTACCGCATTCACTACATCGTTGCACCCCACACTATGTCCTAAGCTTAAAACCTCAACCCCCTTGCAAACAACCAACCCCCCCCCTCCCTCGAACCTTATTACCTTACCCATCCAACCCATATTAGTTACAATACATTCGCAAAATACACCATATGGGAAAACAGTCTCCCATCCACCAACAAGCCTTGCAATAATCCCCCACCTCCCGTATTACTCATATGGAATAAAACCATTCCAGACGGGTAAGATCCCATGTAAAAATCTCACCTTACTTCTCGTACTTTAGTTTTTAAACGTAATTTGTTACAAACACCCTCAGATATTACGCCAATCATACATGCGGAGAAACACCTTCTACAAGCTACCACGCCGTACCGTCCACCCTAACAAGGTTTTCCCAATTTATATTAAGGATCCTCAGATACAGAAGACGCCGTAACATTGAGCCTCACCGATTATGAACTACCCTACCCTCCCCAACCGTTGCATATTCCTGACTGTATCTTATGAAGTCCGCCTTCCATCGCCCCCCCCCTCCCGTCTTTAACTACTTTTAAAATACAGACACTCATAATCCTCTTTTCAACAGCTTAAAAGACCCACCCTCCTCGGCCAACCGGGATGGACATCGACCGCTCTACCTAACCAGGTCGCTTCCACAGTACCGCCAAATGAATCTCAAACGCGGCTTTTTGTAACTTCACGTATCGCACTACGAAGTATCGGAATATGCTGCTACATGCCAAAGTTTTTACTATTAAATGACTTCGTTGTAATTACCTTTGTGCAAAGTTAAGTGTTCAGCTCGTAAACCACTGATGCGCTTCAGAACACCATCTAACACATATCTCACTGAATTTGATATGTTGTGACTAACTGAATCACTTACCATAAACGATCCACATATCCAGTAATTGGTCCACCTTTTTCCCCTTCACTATCTTTCACATTCCTCACGTAACCTATCCCCAAATCCATATACTTACGTTTTCCTCCTTATTATTGAACATGCCAGAAAGCCTTTTTCGAAAAACATTTCCTAACTTTTCCACCCGAGCATCCTGTTATACCACTACTACAATCGTTGGTCATCAACATATCCAACAATGCCAGCCCCCCCACCCCTTTCTCACCAACCCCATTGGCTGCCATAAGACCCTAATTCCTCTATAAAAG